ATAATTTCTTCCTCCGTAACCGGAGCAGTTAGGGCCAAATTATCCTCAGGAGTCACACTTAAATCCAGGCCAATTTCAGGGATACCGAATTGGCCAGGCCTATCGGAGCGGAATATGTCCAAGAAGTAGGATATCACAATCGAGCTGAGCACTGGCTCGTTCTCCTGCCACACGCCATTTGCGTCCATTAGCCCCCGAATTTGGTTGGAGCTCCTTCGTTTCATAGTTTGAGCATGAAAGAATTTAGTGTTCTTGTCACCCTCTTTGAGCCATTGGTTCCTAGACTTCGTTCGTTAATAGGACTCCTCATTCTTGTGGGCAGTCCTAAGCTCTCTTTCCATAAGCTTAACCTCATTTGTGCCAAAATCACCGGATATGTAAGCGGCTCTGATTTCCTCTTTCAGGCGGTCAATGGATTTCTTAGAATTTCTCCCTCTCCCTCTATACCACTCCTTGAGAGTTCGCCGTAGCATTTGCAGCTTTTTACAAAAGCGGAAAACATGTGAACCCTCGGGACTGACCCCTCATTCCCTTGCTACCAAGTCCCGGCATTCCTTCATTTTACTCCACCGGCCATCGAAAGAGAATTTTCTTCCTGTCCTCGCCTTAATTTTCTCAGTAGACATGAGAAGTAACGCATGGTCGGAGCCTTCCAAAACAACGTGCCTGATAGTGGTATCAGGGTAAAGTTCATGCCACCCCGAGGTAGCCAGACCACGGTCCAGCCGCAGTTGGATTGGCCTGGCCTCCTGGTTGTTCCACCATGTAAACGGGTATCCTTCATATCCAAGGTCCACAAGCTCATTCTGAGCCACAAAGTCCCTGAAGTCCCGCATGCTAACCGCCTTTCTCAGGTTTCCACTTTCTTTTTCCTCGTTACTCAGGATATCGTTGAAATCCCCCATGAGAAGGCAATTATCCCTGTCTTTCTCGATCCTCTTACTCAGCTGCGTCCACTGACCTCTCTATTTCCTCTCATTAGTACTGGCATAGATGCCAAAAAGTCGCCATTGACATTTGTTACTCTCATCCCACAATTTAATTTCAATTACAAATTCATCAGATTTGACCGCAACCACCATAGCAGCATCACTCCAAAAGACGCAAAGACCTCCTCTGATGCCGTTAGGCTCTACAGCATGCAGATAATCTAAGCCCAAACTCTTTCTTAAATATCCATAGCGACTACTATTATTCTTAGTTTCCAGAATGATCACTATGTCAGGGGTGTGGAGTCGATTCTGCTCCAAAAGGTTGTCAACTGTCAGGTCACCCCCGATACCCTGACAGTTCCACGTGATTAGCTTCATGGGAACTTGGGAGACCCTTTACGGCTGGTCTCCTCCGCCTCAATAACATCACACATCCTTGGCTTAGTGTGGACCGGCTCCACGCATAGATCCGATCCCGAATACTCTACCTCTTGATGCCCTCGTTTTTTCCTTTTGTGCTCATTCATGACAGCCTCAATAATGGGTGCTAGATCAAATGGGTCATCCCCCATAACCTGGTCCTCCTTACTACTAGCATCTCCACCCCCCTGGTCAGTTGCAATCAGTTCCCTGTCAGACTGCCCACATTCATCCCCCTCGGCAACAATTGGCAGTGCATTTAGGTCGAAGCCTTGTTCAGTCTCCGATAGCCCACAGACCGAATGCACATTTTCCTCTTGCTCCAGCATATCATATAGGACGACATTGGCTGTCCCAGTCGCCACCACTCCCCCCGGACCAATGAGCCCTGCGTCGAAAGCCAGTTCTCTGGCTATTCTAGCCTCCTCCTTTTCTCTGTGTTGGCCGCGGTTTTTATCTGTCAGCTTCTTGTCCTCCTTCTCGCTTCTGCTCGAGGACCATCGAGGTTTGCTTGGTGAGGTAGCGGTATCAATAACTTCATCATCCGCTTTCGCAGTGCACTCGCTCCCACTCAGGGAAGCTGGCTCCAAGTCTAGTATAACTTCCCATACCAGACGCCATTGATGATCGACCAGATCGTCTCCCCCCATCCGGTTCCTCACTGAGTTCCTCCTTCCACCCTGAGTTCCGTCGACCTCCACTGGATCCCTGGGAAGCCCTACTACGAGTACCGGCCCCCAACAGGTTCCCACGCAGGTCCATCACTGCATCCAGGCCACGATAAGCCAGAGCCTCATCTTTTTCTTTGGAGATCACATCATCTCCCAGTTCAGTTCTTGGATTTCCTTGCAGACTCTCGTAGGATGGCCTAGCATTCCACAGCTTAGACAGTAATTCGGAAGTGCTTTGTATTTGAACTCTACCCAGATTTTACCATCGTTCGGAAAGCTCACGAATGTCTCTCGCATCAGAGGTTCCCGGACATTGAATCTGACTTTCACACGGATGAATCTTCCAATACAGTCTCGTCTTCCCGTTTTGTCCACCGTCTGAACCGTCCCAATCAGCCCCCCTATGGATTCAGCGACCGCCTGAGTCATACTTAACATCGGCACATTATGCAGCTGCACCCAAAAGACACCCAAGGTAAGAAGGTTCCATCAATTCAGCCCCTTTTCCGTTCGGTCAGCCACCATCACTAGATCGTTTTTATAGGTACAAGGTTGGTCCGCTTCAATCACCCTCTGAAGATCTCGTAATCCAGCGAATCGAGCAAGGAATCTTCGGTCTCCAATGTCACGGATGGAAACACCCTCCCGCCCTCGCCATAGTGACGTGAAGCAGTCGATGAACACATCTCCTTTCACCTCCTTTGAAGTTAGAATTTCTGCCACCATAGAATACTGGAACCCCAAGAGAGCACCTTCAACATCTTTTCTTTCAATGTTTAAGCATCCCCGCTCTTTCTCCAACAATCTCATATTTGACCCGAATCGAGACCCCAGCTCATCCATAGCCCTCCCTTCCCTGCCCTCAGTCATCCCTTGGCCAGAGCCCCCCTTCACAGAGTACCCCCTACCCCCCCCCCCCCCCCCAAGGATGCACCAACCGGTCGCCCTTATTCGACCCCCAACCTGGCCAGAGCCCCCTTTCTCCGATAATATATTCATTCATGTATTGAATTCTCCTATGAACTATTTTCTTTTAACAAATAAAATTGCTACCTTCGCAGATGCGCAACATATTCACGCTGGCTCATATCTTTCATCTACTCAAGTTGTATAGTGTAATTATCAAACTGCTAAAAGACCAAGATAATGAAACTTCTGTTATTAAAAAGCTCAAACTCATAAAACTCCAATTGTTAGAACCCTACCATAAAGTTTATGAGTTGAAGAATCCCAATACTTAAAGTGCAGCAAGATCATAAGCTCTTGAAGCAATTTCCTCCATGTCATAGCCACCGGCCGTTCATATTAACAAAAATTCAATGCCAAATAAAAAATGAATTAGTGATAATTTAAACTAAAACCCCAAATTATTGTTGTAGAGAAAAGACGTAGTGCATTACTTGATTTGAATGGAATACAACAACAGCATAACACAGGACTTGTAAAGAAATTAACAGCAAAACTCAGATTTCAGCAGCAGGTAGAGAAAAAAATATTTAGTAAAAAAAGAAACAATGAAGCTACAACTGAAATTATAAAAAATAAAAAAAATGCTCGAACCAATCTAGAAGCCAAAATTATCCATAGCATTACTAAATTAACAATAAAAAAACAAAACTCATATAAATTTACAGGAAAATCGAAAAATGTAAATCAACATTAATGTAAACTTAGCCACAAACCTAGATAAACCCATACTGAATCACACTAAATAGAAAACACATAATCCTGAAATCAAACCTCAGATGAATACAATTGGAAGAAAAAAATAGTAAACTCTGGTACTTAATTCTTCTCAACAGCTTAATACATGTGTTACAATATTTTATTTTCTTTTTGTGTTGCGTAGGCTGCCTTCTTGACTACCAACACAACCGGAAGAAAGCTTTTGTTATTCTGCTGAACAACTTCTACCACCATCTATCAATCTAAATAAAACAATGTTCTCCAATATTTTCTTCATGTAAATAGCTTAGCATTTCACAATCTTTTGTTTCCAAATGCTGCTATCGATAAAAAAACCAGAGGGTAAGTTCTACCCCAATTCATTTAAGCATATAACAGAATGGTGATAACACACTTCAATCAAATTGGTTACTCATTCCACCCAATTTTTATCAAACATATAGAACCAAAGACCAATTGTTTAAACGTATTTAATAAAGGATTTATTTAAAAAAATTCCTTCAAATACATATTGCTAACTGGCAAGATATGCATCAATTTAGTTAACCCACACAGATTGGTAAGTGCACATGTTGTTCAGATAAAAACTAATACAAATTAGTGAGACTCATTTATTTAAAAACTGCAAAATGATTATTCAAATGTATATTCATACAAAGTCTAATACTGAAACAAAATTTACAACTCAATTAAAAACATTTGTCCAAGCACTTGCTCAGTGCATTTCCCACTTTCCTCCAGATTCATCACTTTTTTCCCTTTTTCTGTAAAACCACAAATCTGTATAAGAAAGAAATGGAAACGAAAAGAACAACGTTGAAAACGCACCCAAAACAAAGAAACGACGATGACGGATGCGTGTCCAAGATGGGCAAAAGCGCCATTTAACTGTACCAAGCAGGCGAAAGAAAGGAAAAATGAGAAGCCAGCAAAGGCATTTGCACCATTACACTGCTCATTAACAGTGTCCTTCCATCGGGTTTTAGTATATAGATAATTTTTTAGCTGTAGGGAAAGCCCCTTACTCAAGCTTCATGGTATTTACAAGAAAATATGTTTGCGCATAGTTGCAGGAATTGAATATATTAGTCGCGACATGCATGAATAATTTCCGCACAAACCAACTTAAAGACGGCATAGTACTTAAGAACCAATGAAATAAAACTTAGCTTGCTATATACGGATATGCATGCTATAAGAAAGCATTCATTTGTAGATTGTATTGTGCCATCAGTATTATACTCATAGTTTCAAGTGCAAAGCCTACCATATGGGGAAAAACACAGAAAAGTAGAAAACATAATATTTGAGCATCTGATTGGAATAGCAAGTTTTTGAAAAAACTGCTACACCATCTCACAAATTCAATCGTTAAACATTTACACTGTGACCTAAGATAAATATAAAGTATATAGTTCGTTCACAAATCAAAACAAAGTGCTATCAAAGGAAAATGTTTAAGATAATGAAAATAAAAAACCGGACTTGGCAACCATATTTTCTATCGGTAACCAAACGAATAATTTAGAATGATACAAACCCAATTCTAGCTCATCTGGTTGCTCTCATCCTCAGCTCTGTATTTCAGAGGCTGAGTAGCCATGTTTTCAGAAGTTGCCAAATAATCACCATCTGAAGATTGAGAATAACCCACATTGTTCACATTGCATAAAATTTTATAGAAACGGGGACAAATTAACATATTTAAAGTAAGCATTCAGATGTAAAAATATTCAAAGGCTAAGTAGCTGATTGGATTCGTTTCATTTTTAGAATCCAATGAAAATACAAAACGAAAAGGAACTAAAGAAAAGTTACATTTTATATATTTCAAATTAGTGATTAATCAACCAGTCAGTCAATCTCAGTGATCTATCAATACCATGGACATCATACAGAAATTCAAGTAAACCCTGTAAACTATCAACTCCTCAACTCCATCACTCTTCCACCATTGTTTCTAATTTACCTCTCCTTGGAGCTTTTTGATTACTAGTTTATATACAGCAAATTGAACTATCCATTTCAAATCAAATATACATGGGCAGAAAAGCAAAATCTAAACTCTCGCCACATAAATTAATCAATAATCAAAGAAAGAAAAATTCTTGGAGACCAGAACAAATTCAATTGGATTTTCATGTGAGTGATTGTAATTGCCAAACAAAACACATATATAATGTTTGTTTGTATCTTTCTTCCAGGAATTGCTATATCTTGAAAAATTCCAGGAGGATTACATTCAGTTACAAAAAATAGAAATTCCTGGAAGAAAGATAAAACTTTATAATAACTGAATTTCTTCTAATAACGCCATCTAATATACTGTGTTCCAGCTTATGCATACAAAAAAAATGAGGAGATGTTGTATGGGGATGCAAAAAATATTGTTGAGTTTTGGGCAAAACAAGATATGTACAGGTTTTTAAACATGTTAAACATGATTTAATATAGATAAACAAAACACGGTAAACATTCTTGATCAGAGTAGTGAAAGGTGTCTTCAGCTCTTGTTGTCATTTGATAAAGCAACCTGAACAAAGAGGAATAGAACAAAACATATTTAGATAGGATTTAGTATCACATTTAAATGGTAATGGCGGAAAAGATAAAACAACTTGAAAGCATACTAACCTAATCAGTGTTTCCAGTGCTGTTGTGTGGCTTTGCCTGAGTATGAGGTGATTTTTTTTTTTTTTAAATAACTTGATCGGAACCTCATCACATGCTCTTGGATCAACTTCTTAAATTTCTTCAGATTCACTGATTTGAATGAATCATGCAACATTAATATAGTTGAGATAAACAACAAAGAAAATTTGAAAAAGAAAACGGAAGAAAGAAGAACAAAAGTAGAGATACTACCTTGTGGCGATGACTACACGTGGGTTGGTATAAATTTTTATTGTTCGTTGTGCCACAAGTCATGTGGCCCGGTTTTAATCACATTTTTTTTAATATTTTTTTGTCTTCCCATTAGATATACATAGGTTTAAAAAGTTGAGAACCGTTTCCTGAAAATACAAAACAGAACCAAATCATGCACCCATAATCACAATGACGACATAGAAACGAAAAAAAGACGATGCTCCATTTGCTAAAACGCCAAAGAAAGAAGCAGAAAAATAAAAGGAAAATTTGAGGAAAGAAATAGAAAAAAATGAAAGAAAAAGGGGGAAGCCCTCTCAGCAGAAAATTCCCCGATGATCAACACTTGAAAGAAAAAAAGCAGAGCAAAACCAAAAAATGAAATAACCAAAGGCAAGGGGAAGACAGCAGGGCTTCTCACAATTTTTAATATTTGTTTTCCATGCATTCAAAATTTTTTATTGTGTTATGTGCCACAAAGCTGGATTAACTCGTTTTTTTAAATATTTGTTAGTTTTTTTTTATTATTTTATCTTTCTTTGTGCCCACACTTTGCAGGAGACTCTGCATTCAAATGTTTTTATAATATTTTATTGTGTTTTGTGCGACAAATCCGCGCCACCTACTGCAGGAGACTCGGCGTGGAAGACAAAAAGCGGAGCAAAATCAAAAAATAAAATAATCAAAAGGCAAAGGAATGGGGATAGGTGAACCTGTTCATAATGGTAGAGAAGGGTTGAGTAGTGCTTCCTCAGCACAAACAAAGCGCTTGTTGATGTTGGGGAGAACATGAAAACACTGTTCTCGTCTGAACTGGACAAACAAAATCAGGAAATACAAATTTTATTTGAGATATGAAAAAAAAAGTTACAAAAAGGCAGAAGAAATAAGGCACAACCAAGTTTACACAACAAAGGCCGAAGATAAAAAAACAAAACTAAAACATGATATAAAATTTCTTTTTAACAGCCTCTACATTACATAGCTAAAAGGTAGCGTTTAATGATAATTAAACACACAGTTCCTCCATGTTTTTATATAAGCTCTTTTCATATTTGCAAATATAACTTTCAAAACCGAAACTCTCCAATTTCACACAAAAATGTAAATTTGCATGGCAATTACTACAATTTGAAGCAAAATTCAAGTTACCCAATACAAACAAATGAAACCTGAAATAAAAAATCTACACTTTGTAGAGAAAGATAACAACTTTACCTCCCTTCATGCACAGTAATTGAAATTCCAGCTCATGGGTTTGTTGGGTGGTGGCGGTGATTTTGCTGTGAGAGAGAATTGGGGAAAATGGACCAAAATGTCAGTAAAATGAAGAACAAAAACCACTAATCATACAATCCAAATTCAGTTTTTCGATTAGCATTTTTCCAAAAAGAAGGCAATCAATTGCTAACACATGTACAAAATCAGAGTCCGAAAACTAAAAATCAAGCGAGTCAAGGAGCGGAAGCGGATGACAGTGGACGACACAGAAGTTTTTAGAGAAGATTAAATTATATAATCTGGAAAAACAAATAAAGCAGCCAATCAGAAGTTAAATAAATAGAAAGAAAAAAGGGAAAAAAAGACAACCTGAATTCAAAGTGTTCCACATGCTGTATTCAAAATTGATTAAGCACCGATTACATATCTAAAATCGACATCAACTCACCTTAACACTTCATTTTCTATATTCTATTGGGTTCGACCCAACCCTAAAACTAATAAAAAGAAAGGGGAAACTTTCTTTTCATTTTTACCATACCAATCTGTGTATTTTTCTCTGTCAGTATGCCTTGACTTCTGGGTCCCTGTATAGACCTACTTTATTACCCTCTCTCTCTCCAGCTTTCCTTTTAAATAGGTTATCATATACCCATGCTCACTTTCACCCAACAGCAAAAGAAACAGAGGAGAAAGGAAGACACCACATTTAATTAATTCATGATTTTGTCTAATTTGCTTTGATTGAACTGGAAAGCATCAAAAGAAGGTCATACATTATCAGCAGATGCTCATGTAGTGCAGCTCAGTTCTTCAAATCATTAAAAACATCCTACTTTATTTCAATTGGTTTGGTTGTCCAACTTAGTTGGATACCAAACATACATGTCTCTTACACTCAGTTCTAAGACCACAACTCAATCACGATATATAGGAAAAATATCAAACCCAAACAGAAACTCACATTTCAATATAATCAAAATGCAAACGAAATACCAAACTGAACTCCGATTATAAAAAACTAAACTAAATTATAAATTGAAAACTTTGAATTGAATAACCCCAGAAGTTTAAATTGCTTACCTTGAGCACAGAAACAAACGCCATCAAATCTGAAAAACCTACGAATCGAAAATCACAAAAACACCAAAACTAAAACATGGGATCACATTTTCTAAGCTACCAAACAGAAAAAATCTAAAAAATATGGCCAAAATAAAACTCACCTTGATGCCCTGTGGATCAGCAACCATGGTTGGAGAAAAAGAGAGAAGGAAGCTGCTCTAAAGGTGACTGAGTATCAGGTTCCGAGTGGGAGGTGAAATCGAAATTTCAATCCATTTGTAAATCCAAAATCACAAAACCCCATATTTGAACAAAACAAAACCCCCAAGATGAAAGACTTGAAAAACTTACCAGGAAACCCTAGCTTTTCTGGGCAAGAAATTCCTTCAAATCAATCTAAAAAACTGAAGAAGCTCACCTGAGTTTAATAAAAATCGAAATTTAAGCAACTTTCTCACCTGGAAACGTTGGATTAGATGAGCTCAGAAATTCCAATCGAAACCAAATTGGTACAAATTTCTGAAACCAAAAACCGAACCACATCAAATATTAAAAATTCTGCTTATTTCATAGCCATCCCCCATCGGATTCACAATACAAATAAACATGGCAAATAAAAATTCTGCTTATTTCACCAAACGATCAAGAATTCCAAGAATCTTGATAAGCCCACTCACGTGAGCCCATTACTCCTCCTCTTCGAGAACGGCCCATACCAGCTTTTCCATCGGGTCCAAGTAGCTAGGGTTTTCTCACTTTGGAAGAGATATAAATATGTAATGTTGTGGACAGAAGGGGCTATGAAATGAATGACAAAAACTGCCTCTTTTCCCTCAAACTCCTCTTTCTTTATTCTCTCTTTCATTCCTGCACTATTTTCTGTTAAGATTTCCCTTTTTAGGCAACCTGAACCGATTCGGGTGTACCAATTGGTATCAGAGCCCGTCGACAGATGGGCAAAAACACACAATCCGCTAGCTCTGACCCCGACGTCGTCGCCGCTGCAGTGGATGTTCGTCACGAGCACCTCCGTAACCAAGTCGAGGATGTATGTGACACAATCGCCATTCTGGAAAATCAGCAAGCTTCATTCCAGAAATCTTTGGACCAACTCAGCGATTCCAACACAGCTTTCCAAACCACCATGACCTCCCAGTTCGCATCCTTTCAAACCATACTGTTAGAGGAGCTGCGCCACCTTAAATCAGCCCTCCCACCAACCCCGACCACTACCGTTCCACCCACTTCCACCCCCGCAACCTCCGTCCACCCAAACCCCACCCTCAACCCGAGAGCCTCCACCTCCAATTTGCAACCCTCCTTCCGCTCCCTATTTCCCGCACCGAGTTCTTCTCCCTTGGGCCTGGGTCTCTCTAACCCACCCAACCTCAACCTACTCCCAACCTCCACCCCTTCAACCCGGCCCACACCATCCCCTATTACTATCACACCCAGGCCGGCCCACTCGCAACCCAACCCAGCCTCTTCCTCTCATTACTCACCGCACCCCTACACCCACACCCACCCAACACCATATACTTCTCACTCCTTCCATATTTCCCCGTCCCCCACCCCTCCTTCTACTCACCACACCCAACCACCACCATACACTTCCCAACACCCTCCCAACAACTTCAAACCCATCAAAATGGAACTCCCGCGTTTCACTGGGGAAGACCCTTACGGGTGGTTAGCCATGGCGGAACGATATCTCGACTATTACGAGGTCCCCCCCTCAACAATGGGTCCTTGTTACAGCTTGTAATTTTGGTGCAGATGCCTCTATTTGGATGAGGGGTTTTGAACAAAGGCACGACAGAGATAATTGGGGTTTATTTGTTGACTTGTTGCTTCAACGTTTTGGTGGTGGTGACCGCGCAAACATTGAATCCCAGCTTACTCATATTCAACAAAAGACTACTGTTGATGACTATCTGGCAGAGTTCACACGGCTTTCTTGCCGGGTCACTGATTGGACTGAAAACCAATTGAAACATATGTTTCTGGGCGGGTTAAAGGAGGACATACGTCATGACATCCTTGCTCTCGAACCTGACTCTCTCCATCAAGCCCAGAAATTAGCCAAAATTTTTGAACTAAGCTGCACTCCAAACGTTCTACCCGCCCCAATTTTCCCCGCTCTTTCCTCACAAATAACATCTCTGCTCCGTCCTCCTTCTCCAGTCCGACACCACCCATCACTACAAAACAACCCCTCTTGCCCCATAGCGCATTCAAGCGCCTTACACCAACTGAAGTACAGGACAAACGGCGCAAAAACGAATGTTTTAGCTGCCATGAACAATACTCTCCCACCCACAAATGCAAAACCCCACTGCTCATATTGCTTGACCCTACTCTGCCTGAGGACGATTCCACCACATTCCACGATTGCCAAGATGACAACACTACAGTCGAGGAGCCCTCTTGTCACATGCTTGAACTGTTCTCTATTCCGAGTCTCAATATCGGTCGACCTATGAGACTGCACGGTTCCATCTCCTCTAAACCCATCATCGTCCTAATCGATTCAGGAGCTGCATGCAACTTCATGAACCCCCACATTGCTGATCAACTAGGTTTACCGGTACATCCAATTGCCCCCATGAAATTCACAACCGCAGCAAATGATCGTTATTCATCCAAACGTGTCACGGGTGTATCGCTCCAAATACAGGACTACACTTTCACTAGGTCTTTTATCTTACTGGATGTACCCGGTTGTGACCTCATTTTAGGTGTTGAATGGTTAGAATCTCTCGGGTTCATTGGCTGGCACTTCAAACAGAAAACCATGGTTTTTTCGGTGGGCGGGCGAACCTACACATTACAAGGCTTAACACCCTCATCCTCATTGTTCCCTACCTGCCTCCAAATGGAAAAATTATTGGACAACCCGTACACCCTCTTAGCCTCCATCACTTCTCCAAACAGCAACCCTACCCCACCCAGGGACACACATCCAGCCATTCTCTCCCTCCTCCACAAATACAAGCACCTTTTCACCAACCCGTCAGGACTTCCACCCGAAAGACCCATCGACCACAAAATACCCCTACTCCCTGGTACCAAGCCCGTCAATGTTAGACCATATCGTTATCCTCATTGTCAAAAGGCTGAGATCGAAAAGCAGGTGCAGGATTTTTTAAATTCAGGGGTTATCCGCCCAACTTCCAGTCCATTCTCTTCTCCAGTCCTCCTGGTCAAGAAGAAAGACAATACATGGCGCCTCTGTATTGATTACCGTGCTTTAAATGCAGCAACTATCAAAGATCGTTTTCCAATACCGGTTGTCGATAAACTGCTTGATGAATAACATGGCGCCACCATTTTTTCAAAACTGGACCTCCGATCAGGTTACCATCAAATCCGAATGCACGCCGATGACATCGCCAAGACAGCCTTCCGCACCCATGAAGGCCACTACGAATTCACGGTAATGCCCTTCGGCTTATCAAATGCCCCTGCCACATTTCAATCCTTAATGAATTCGATTTTCCGTCCGTACTTACGGAAATTTGTCTTAGTTTTTTTTTATGACATACTTGTCTATAGTCCTTCCGTCGCATCTCACCTCTCCCATTTGGAGACAATTTTCGAGATTCTTTCTGAACACAGCTTGAAGGTTAAACTAAGCAAGTGCTCATTCGGCAAGGACCGAGTGGATTACTTGGGTCATGTAATTTCTGGAGAAGGTGTTGCTGTGGATCAATCCAAGATACAGGCCATCACCTCCTGGCCACAGCCAACATCCCTAAAAAGTCTTCGCGGTTTCCTCGGATTAACGGGCTATTACAGAAAATTCGTTAAACACTACGGACTCATTGCCAAGCCCTTAACCAACATGCTCAAACAAGGAGGCTTCTTGTGGTCACCAGAGTCCACTACGGCATTCCAAGCTTTGAAGAATATGTTGGCCACAGCACCAGTCCTTGCCTTACCAGATTTTTCCAAGCAGTTCGTGGTCGAAACGGATGCATCGGGCACGGGTATTGGAGCTGTTTTAAGCCAAGATGGACATCCAATTGCATACCTTAGCAAAGCTCTCTCGGGGCGTAACCTTGGACTGTCGACCTATGACAAAGAAATGCTCGCCATTGTATTTGCAGTACAACATTGGCATCCCTACCTCTTGGGCCAACAATTCCGCATCATCACTGATCATCAACCACTCAAGCACTTCCTAGAACAGCGGATTACAACCCCACAACAACAACATTGGCTGGTAAAACTACTCGGGTACAACTACTCGGTTGAGTACCGCCCCGGTTCTCAAAACACGGCCCCAGATGCCCTCTCCCGTCAAGCCGAACTACTGCTAGTAATGGGACTCTCCACCCCTGTCTTTGACTGCATCCCTCAATTGCAACATTCTTATGCGCACGATCCGGACGTGCAAAAAGTTTGGAGTCTCTTACTTTCTGCACCAAACACTCTCATAAAAGGCTTTTCCCTGATCAATGATGTGGTGCACTACAAACAAAGGGTCTTTGTTCCACTCACTTCCCAATGGCGCCCTAAGCTACTGGCCGAATTCCATGCATCCCTTCAAGGTGGTCACTCCGGATTTCTTCGCACATACAAACGCCTTACCAGAAATTTTTTTTGGCCAGGGATAAAGAGGGAAACCAAACAATTTGTGGCTGAATGCACGGAATGCCAACGCCAAAATATTGAGAATATCCACCCTCGGATTGTTGCAGCCCTTGCCCATTCCTGCAGGCATATGGCAGGACATCGCCCTTGATTTTGTGGAGGGACTACCCAATTCCAACGGGTACACTGTCATTCTTGTTGTTGTCGATCGCTTATCGAAGTATGGCCACTTCATTCCCCTGAAACATCCTTACACAGCCGCCTCGGTTGCCGACATTTTCACCAAGGAGATTTTCAAACTCCATGGCATGCCAAAATCGATAGTCTCAGACAGAGACCCAATCTTCCTCAGCAACTTTTGGCAAGAATTCTTCAACCTCCAAGGTAGCAAACTTTGCCACAGCTCTGCTTACCACCCTCAAACGGATGGGCAAACGAAGGTCCTCAACAGAACATTGGAACACTACCTTCGGTGCTTCTCAAGTGACAAACCTACCAAATGGTCATCTCTCATTCCTTGGGCTGAATGGTGGTATAACACAAGCTTCCATTCTGCCATTAAAATGTCCTCGTATCAAGCTGTCTACGGTATCGAACCACCAACCATTCGCATGTACATGCCCGGGTCCACGGCAGTCCACTCGGTTGATGCGGCATTACAAGACCGAGACAAGTTGATAAGCCGTCTGCGGGCCAATCTGCAGCTTGCACAGAATAGAATGAAACAAATCTATGACCACAAGAGAACCGAGCGGGTGTTTAACGTTGGTGGCTGGGTTTACTTGAAGCTGCAACCTTACCGCCAGCACTCGGTGACTACGAGGACGACAAACAAGTTAGCACCCAAGTTCTATGGCCCATTCCAGATTACAAAGCAAGTCGGGTCTGTGGCATATCAGCTTCGTTTACCTCCAAACTCCAAGATCCATCTCGTCTTTCACGTGTCTCTCCTCAAACCCAAGCTCGGCAGTGCTTCTCCTCCACTCTCTGACTTGCCTTCTTTCGACTCCTCCGGAACTCTACAATGGCAACCAGAAACCGTGCTTGACAGGGGCATGTTCAAGAAAAACAACAAAGCAGTGACAAAATGGTTGATCAAGTGGTCCGGCCTACCCACCGAAGACGCAACCTGGGAGGAAGCCGACACCATCCTGGCTCGTTACCCTGAATTCCAGGCCTGAGGACAGGCCTTTTCTCAAGGGGGAGGGAGTTGATAAGCCCACTCACGTGAGCCCATTACTCCTCCTCTTCGAGAACGGCCCATACCAGCTTTTCCATCGGGTCCAAGTAGCTAGGGTTTTCTCACTTTGGAAGAGATATAAATATGTAATGTTGTGGACAGAAAGGGCTATGAAATGAATGATAAAAACTGCCTCTTTTCCCTCAAACTCCTCTTTCTTTATTCTCTCTTTCATTCCTGCACTATTTTCTGTTAAGATTTCCCTTTTTAGGCAACCTGAACCGATTGGGGTGTACCAAATCTTTTCTCGAATGATTCCCATCAATCCAAACGCAAAAATCTGCTTAGTTCTCTTAAAACCAAAAGAAAATATTAGGGTTTCTTAGTTTCTTACCCAAATCCACCAAATTGAATAAAATCTCTGTAGCCGAGCTTCAAATCCGTCTCAAATCGCCTCCACGAACACGATTTTTGGAAGATTGGAAACGCATAAAGAGGCATGCCCTGTATTTTTTGCACTTTGAAACGCAATCCACCTTCTCCTATTGACCCCTCACAGACTTCTTCGAGTAACCTGCAGAGAGAAACAATACCCATTATACATTTTTTTAGATGGATTTTAGAAAGAGAAGAGCGACAGAAGGAGTTCGAGTGCGACGGAAGCAGAGAGATTTGAGAGAGAGAGAGAGAGAGAGAAGTGAACACAAATGGAAAAACGTGGAATGAAGTAGAAGAGTCGAGAAACAGAAGGTGAAGCGATGAGAGACGCGTGGCCAGAAAAGGTAAATCCGACACTTCGTGATGGAAACAGCAAGAGAAACAGAGGAAAAACGGAGGGGCAAAAACGTCCACACACTGGTCATCCACAGTGACCAGGGGGTTTGAGTTTTAGTATATATGATATATATATATATATATATATATATATATATATATATATATATATATATTCACATAATATTCATACATTTTGAGAACAGAATAAAGGTCGTACCCAGTGCACAAGGCTCCCGCTTTACGCAGGGTCTGGGAGAGGTGCACTGATAAATTAGCCAATTTAGAGATTCTCTCGTCTTCATTTGTTCGGCATGCCTTTCCTCTTATAGAGATTCTTCCTCTTTTGCAGTCAGATTTCTTGGGCATGTCAGCCTACAAGTTTGTCTCCCTTTCATGATTTGTGATTTTCTTTTTTACCTAATTTTTTTGGATTTTTCTTTTTGTTTTGCAGTTTGTCTTGCAAGTTTTTACTTTTTAGGTTTATAGAGGGGTTTGGGCTTATGTCCACCCAATCTTTTTCTTGTATTTTCTTTTTCAAGAGAGGTAAGGTCATTGTCCTCTATTTTTTTTTGTATTTTCTTTTTCAAAAGGGATAATGTGTATGTCCTCCCATATTTTCTTGTATTTTGTTTTTCTTGCTTCATGAGAGGTTAGATTTATATGAGACCCTAACTAAGTATTTCTTTTTTCATATCTATAAATTTCACTCGTACTGTCGAGATTTTCTAAAATAATATTTTATATTATTAGATCGTAATGCTGATGACAGCTCGTACCACGTAAATTTTTCCCATTTGTTTGAAAAAGAAAAGAACCCCGAGCATGCCATGCATATATGCATGCATGTCTTAATCACTAATCAGTGTGTTATGTAGACTTTATGAAAAGTGGAGTCATATCTACTTTATGTTCAATCGGTGTTGGTGACTTGGCGCTGTGTTGGCCTGGCTGTAATACAAAATGGTCGGCATGCATTATCTTTAGTACATAATAAGCCAACATGATATTTTTCCGATTGAGAATTCTACGGATCCGTAAATTAGTTTCATGAGATACTTTGAATGCAGTCTCTAATTTTTAATATTCTTTGATTAAAATCTTAATAATATTCAAAGTTTGATCAAGGTCCCTTGACTTTGTACCCCTCATTATATTACTATTAATATTTATAATTTTATAGTTTTGATATTAATTGTTTGATATTTTATGAGATTTATAATCCTATAAATTTAAAATCTCTCATTATAATATTATTATAAATGGTTACAATAAAAAAATTCAAACATTTTGATTGAATAAATAGATAAAAACTATATAAAAATAATAAATAATAAATGGCACAAGAATGTATCCATAGTGTTAAAAAATTGGTATATTTACAAACAAATTGGTACATTTCACATATAACAAAGTGGTACATTAATAAAGAAGAATGGGTACATTAGAAATAAATTAAGGTACAGATAAAAGATTAAAATTATGAATACAAATGAATTTTTAAAAATATAGGTGTTAAAAGAAATTAATACATGGGTACAAAAGAAAACTAAAAAGAAAATACTACAAATTTTAAAAAAAAAATGTTGCAAATTAAAAGTGGGTACAAACTAAAAATATAAATATATGATACAAATTTTAGGCATAAAACATAAATATACCATATGTAATTTTTCTATCCTTGATTAAATGTCACTTGGCGGTATAAACATGGGTAAAAACACAAATAAAACTTTAAAAAATATGGGCACAAAAAGAAACTAATATATGAGTACAAATTAAAAATGAAAAGAAAACTGGTACATATTAAAAAATATTTGCAAATTAAAAATAGGTACAAACTAAAAATAAAAATATATGATAAAAAATTTAGTCATAAATATAAATATATTAATTGTAACATTTTTATCATTAAAGGAATATATTTAAAAATAAAAATATTTTATTTTTCAAATAATTAATGATGTTATTAATACCCAAAGACCTTAATCAAAAATTGAAAATGAATAGGATTTTAATCAATAGAGCTGTACACATCGAAATTTCGTAAATAAATGTTGACCGATAAATCAAAGTGTCAACGCTCATGTATTACATAAATTTTACACGTAGCGTGTGACTCAACGAAAATTGAAATGAGTTGGAAAAGTCATCAAATAGGACACGTGTCAACACCTGGCAGAAACGACTTATTTCATCTGGGATATTATATTCAAAATTAGGCATTGGAAAATTCTATAAATACAAGCCCATTTCATTCATATTGGAGGAACCAAAATCATTATGCAAAATTCTTGAAGCTCTGAAGCTCTGAAACTCCGAAGCCCTCAAGCATCCAGGTTCCCGAATAATCAAGAAAGCTCTCTTCGTTCTTCGTTCATCGTTCTTCCAAGATCAAGCCCAAACGGCCCTTTGGATCAACAATCATCCACCAATTCAAGATTAAGCCCCGACGGCCCTTGAAGAAAGTGTTCTTCGTTCTTCGTTCATCGTTCTTTCAAGATCAAGCCCCGACGGCCCTGGAAGAAAGCACCATCGTTCATCATCCGTTCATCCAAGATCAAGCCCCAACGGCCCTTTGGATCAACAACATCGACAAATCCACACACATCCAACCGTTCTTCAAGATTAAGCCCAAAAGTCCTTGAAGATCCGTTCATCACCGTTATTCAAGATTAAGCCTCAACGGCCCTTGAAGAAACATTCATCCTCAAGATCAACCCCCAACAGCTCCTTGAGGATCCGCTCAAATCCACCTTCAAAAATCAAGCCCACGGCCCTTGAAGAACGTTCATCCAAGATCAAGCATCAACGACCCTTGGATCAATCACACATCCACAAATCAACACCTTACGGAGATCGAATCAGAGGATCAAAATAGAGAGAGATTGTAACCCAAAATCATCAAATACAAATATTTGTTTGTGCACGTCGTTCTTGTCTCTTTCGTTTCAGGAATTTTCCGTGTTCACAAATTGGCACACCCAGTGGGACAATCTCTGCCTCTCATCTCTTTCTCCGTTTAAGGAATCCAAGCACACCTCAAAGTCAATGGCATCAAGTAAGGGACAAGCCGTTCTTGCAACCACTGAGGGAAGGATCCTAAGCACTTCTGCCGCAAATGGACAATCCATTGGCGCCACAACCGCTCCTCAACATGCCACTTCAAAATTGGTGCCGCTAAAAGAGCAAAGGGAGCATCCAAGGTGTGAGTCTGTCATCAACCTGACCTCGCTGGGTGATGTGAAAAATATAAGCACACAAATTAAACCCTCTTTTTATCAATTGTAGTAAAGTATGTAAGTAGGGATCGTTCTAGGCCGGGGATTAGGAGGGATTGCTAAATCACTTGGAAACTGACTTGAAAACGTAAAAACAAAGTTTAAAACACTAACTAGACTCAAAGAATGCAAAACTATACTTTAAAACACTAAAACAAACCAAAAGACTTAAAACAGCCCCTAAACACTCAAAACTACCTTAAACATACAATCTGGGCAGTTTTGGGACTCTAATACAAACTTGGACGAATTTTGGTTTTCTAATGAACTAAAACACTTAAAAACATAATCTAAGACAAGTTTTAATTAATATGACTCAAAGAAATAAGATGGGGTTGATTTTGGACGAAAATAATTAAATTAAGACAAGAACAAAGTAAACAAATTCTTAGACAAATTTAAGTGAATCAAAACAGATTGTAAAATGAATTTGAATGAAACTTATGGATGGAAGGCTAGCTAGGAGGTTCTTCTCCACACATGTCACACTTGCATACAAAACGATTTCCAGTTGCTTTTTGATAAGCTATGAATACTCAACGCCCCAAATTAACCGTGAATTGCACTAATTAACCCTCAGTTTTTCCACAAGTTATTGGATTGGATGATTGCATACGACAACCCAAAACATTCCCTACAAGTTCCCTACATGAATTGCATAATAGAGATACAAGCAAGAATCATTAAGTTCTATGAAAAACATAAGCATTGACGAGACACTCGTTACTATGATTTGCATGAAACTTATGCCAAGAATTTACTTAACGTGATTGTGACTAGCAACCTTCACTACTTGTGAATATAAGTTCATAACGATTAGGTGAAACTCCCTTATATTCTAGCGTTAAATTCATGCATGAAAATTAAGCGTGCACTCTCAACCAACATACACAAATCATTTTTTATACGATCGGATAAGTAAATTGAATTCACAACTTATGAATCACAACTGGATGTAATCAAATCATCATATTGCAAGTATGAACATGGTTTCGAATCACCCCCTAACTAAGAGGGGTTTAGTTCCTCATACTCACAAAGCAAAGATACATAAAATTAGACATTAAAATCAAAGGAAAGAAAACACCTAAAATGCTCCAACTTGGGTAGCAAGTGCATCCAAGAATTCTCCTTTGCTTGCTTGCGGCAGATTGCTTTGTGGACGGATTTTTGGGTAGTTTTATGATGATGTAGAATGGATGGGGAATGGTATGGAAAGGTTTAGGGTAAGTGTGGAGGAGTGTTTGAGGGTTGGAGGGTGGTGGAGAACTAGGCAAAGAGGGTGGAAGAAGGTGGAGTGGCTGTTATGTTTTCTAGGCACTAGAATGGTGTTTTTGGGGTGTTTTGCTACCTAGAGGTTGTATGGACGAATTTTATGTGATGAATGATGAATATGAGAGTGTGAACCCTTTGCCAAGGGGTGTAAACATGTATATATAGGCCCCAAAAACCTTAGAGAATCAGGTTAGACTAGGGAGAATGCACGGCAAAGAGTGTATGTGGTGTGCAATGGTCCAAGGGTGAAAATGAAGTGATGATGCAAAGTGTGAAGGGTAAAATGGAGTGGTCTTGTAGCTAGGGAGCATGAATGATTGTGTACATTGCATAGAGATGTAAAGGGAGGTGAAA